CTCTTTTCATCATTCGATTTTCTTTCTTCATCTATTTTTTTCACCTCATCTCTGATTCTTTCCCTTAATTATGATTATAAATACTTATTATTGCATTTGCAATATTGCATCTTCTTCATCTTTCTCATCCTCATCCTCATCATTATCATCTTGCAAAAAAAACCTCATACAACAAACTGATAACCTCTCATTACAATTGCTTACGCCAGCATAATCAGTTTGATGCAAAAATTGATTAACAACGATTGATTAACTTTCATCATGATTATAATTTTTTTTCATCATCATCTTATGTCCATCATCATTATCATCCAATATTATCCTCATTATAATTGTTACTCTCAACAACAATATTAATATCAATCCATTTATTATCATCATCATCATATTAATAACTTGGACAGTTAATTGTAATTACATTGTTAATGATGATGATGATAACTTTGAATCTTCAAATGTTCCTATGATTACATTGCTGTTTTTTTTCACTGTTGCTTTTGCTGACTGATTATGATTACATTTTTAATTAACCATCATCATCAACTCTCTCTCTCTCTCCCTTGATTATGATGATGATTGCAATCAAGAGAGTTAACAGCAATTAACTTTGATCATAATAATAATGTTTAGATTTTTTCTGCTTCTGTTTTTACATGAGTTGTAATTCTGAATCTAAATCGTATCGTAGCTTTGAATTACACTGAATTTCCCATGAGATTCAGGGTGGATAGAGAGAGAGAGAGAAAGAGGGGGGAGGGAGAAGTGGGTAGGAGAGATTAGTTCAAGTTTCTGGAGAGAGAGAGAGAGAGAGAGAGATTTAATTTGAAAGAGATAATCTTGTTTCTATTAAGTAACAATTAAGTTATTCCTTTTAGTCTCATTGTAATGGTTCAGAAGGGATTAGATTAGTTAGATTAATTTGACTATTCAGAGATTTAATCAACATCTAAAGGGGAGGAAAGAGGATAAGGATAAGGAAGAGTGAACTCTAAGTGATTTTCAATAGTTACTTAAAGATGTTGATGGTCAGTGAAACTATCATAAGGATTGACCATTGCGGTTACAAGGTCAAGGTTCTTATGGGCTTATAAGAGGCTTACCTTGGGCTCTCTCTCTCTCCCTCTCTTCATCATCATCTTTTCATTGATCCAATGTGATCAAAGGGGATGATGATGTAATTCAAATTGAATGTTTTCAAGTATTACTCTGAGTTGTTGAAAGAGAGTTGATATAATGTCCATAATGTTTCAAATATCAATCAGGAAGTGGAAATGGTAAAAAAAAACTGTTGTTTATGAAGATGAGGATAAACATATAATATGGATGAGAAAATGATCTTCCATAAGGATGAAAAGGTTGAAAGTGAAAATCATCTGAGTGAATGTTTACTTTTCCATCTCTTTCTTACTGGTTACATGGACAATCATTTGGTCAGTTTATCTGAACAACTGATGATGACCAGAAAAAAAAGAAAGAGGATGATGACCATCATCATAATGGTCTTTCTTTGGTAGCCTGTTGATAGTAAATACTACGGTAAAACCAATGAAAAGATTCATTGGATGAGACCAAACAAATCGATCAATAAAAAAAAACTTCTCATCTCATTTGGTCAACTTATCATCCTCATCATCATCATCTTGACCATATAATTCATATTCATCATGATGATCAGCTGATTATCTTATTATTATTGTTTCACAATTTCCTAAAAAATTCATTTGCAAAGTTCATTGAACAATAACAACCAACGATCCCAAGAGTTAATCCAATGTGAATAAATTTTACTTATTTACGGTTTACAATTAATCATTCACAATTAATCAATGGTAATCAAAAGAAGAGTAGTAATTAAATTAAAATTAATTACATTATAAGAAAGAAAAGTATTAAATTTGAAAAGATTAACTAGAAGATGATAATGATTAGAATGAGAAAGTTTTTCTTTAATCTTTTTTTTTTACCTTCTAATTGCTAATTACCAAAGAGATTTAATTTTTTCTTATTGAAATCAACAATTTAATCCCAAGTAATCAGGTTTATATAATCAATTAAACTCTGGTATCCTCTTAATTGCTTTTAACAATTAATTGCAATAAAATGATATACACAAAAAAGTATTTCTAACCAAAGTAATAGTTTAATTGTTTTCCCTTTTTTTTACAACAGTAGCTTAACAACAATTAACTATTAACAATAAGAGTAACAATTTAAAATGATTTAATTATTTAATCCTCATTGACAGTGTCAGATTAAAGGTGTGGCAAGTGATGCAGATGAAGTAGTAATTTTATCAAATATAATTACAATTCCCCAATAATCAAAGTGCCATAAAATTTGATCGCATCCTCATCATTTCAAATGCAATTGCAATTGATGGTTAATTAGATTGTTTCTCATTATCATCTTTATCCTCATCTTTTTATTATTATCATAACAATCAAGTAAATCTCACTCACTTTAATCTTCCACCCTCAGATTTGTCTCTCTCTCTCTCTCTCTCTCTCTCTCTCTCTCTCTCTCTCTCTCTCATCCTATTGATGAGGATAAAATTTGATAGAGAAACAGTTTTGTTATTCATCTAAAAACCAAATTAATCTTCAACAGAAAGAAGATGAAGATTAAAGGGGAGAAGATGATGATGATAATGATGATTTTTCTTTTGTTCTCGTGATTTAGTTGATCAATTTGATTTGATTTGATTGAAAAAGCTGCTATTTTAATGTCAATAATAATGATTATCAACATAATATCATCATCATCATCATCATCATTTTAAGAGGTAATATATTAATACCCCTGTAACATTGGGCTAAGGGAAATGCTTTAAGCTGTGTATCCATTAATGAGTGAAATAAATATTATGTTATATTGGAAAGTGGGTGGAGGAGGAGGAGAGGATGAGGATGAGGATAACCTTGGGTGCGAATCAACATAATGTTATCCAACACACACACACCACTAACCTTTACCGGTGCTGATGTTGCAACCTCCATCTAATCAACCTCCTCACCTCCCTTTCTCCCTCCTTCATCCCCAACACACACACTCAATAATTTCCTATCAATTGTGATTAGTATCTTAGAGCCTCAAAATTTTGGGCTCCCTCCTCATCACTTTAATTATCAACCCAATATTTGTGTGTGTTTGCAATTACTTTGCAACAATTATGCTTTTTTTTAACAATAATAATAATAATTGCATTAACAATCAGTTGATTGCAATTGATTGTTGTTCTTGTTGTTGCTTATTACTTTTCTAGCTGCTTTTGTTTGATCATATTTACTGATAATGATTAAGCCAGAAATTAACAATCAATATGTTGTTACCATTATTATGTTACCCTCAACAATCAAGATTTTCAGAGTTGATTATGTTTCACTTTTTTTTGTGATTAACTTTTTTCATGTTCAGGTTAATGATTGGATAAGGATAGTTGTTATTGTTTATTTCATTGAGTAATTAAAAACCATAACAATCAACAAAAACTTTGCAATTTAATCTCTCAACACTAAACTTAAACCGCAATTAAATTGTATCATCAGAAAGAGTGACCAATGGATTGACCAGTTAACTTAATGTTGTCCCTTTATTTTGATTGATTGTCACAATAATTTTAATTTCGTAACTTTGTCAACATTTAGCTATTATAATCATTACATGTATATTGATTTTCTGATTGTGATTAGCAAAAAAAATATATACATATACATTCAAGTTAATCACCAATCAGAAAATGAAGTAATTATTTTTGAGATGTGAAACTAAATCTTATCATTATGTTTTTGACTGATAAATGATTCATATCAACTTTAGATGAGGATGCTAATGATGAGGATGCTAAATATATGATAATAATAATGTGACTTCACTGCAAATGAATAATGAAACAAGATTGTGATTAAAATTACAAAGGCTCAAATTATATGCATATAAGATAAATGGATTGAAATTTACAAACAACAATTTAGATCAGTAATAAGTTGAAAAGATGAGGATGAGGATGAAGATGAAGATAAAAGATGAGCATCACTTGAAAATGGATTCGGTTTGTGATGAAAAAAGTAGACAGAGAGAGAGAGAGAGAGAGAGAGAGAGAGAGATACAAAGTACAAGAATCAATATTGATTAAGTCTCTTTCTTTTTTATTCATCATCATCATGATAATCATGAATTCTTATCCTTTGATTTGAATCATTACCATGATCATGAAGGAAGAAGCAAAAGAGGAGATGAAAAAATAGAATTGAAACTTTTTCTCCCCTGAAATTTTGTTCAATTGCTCGATTTTTCCAATCACATTGTTTCCTTTCATTCTCATCTTCATCTTCTTCATCCTCATCAGTAGCATTATAGTGTATTCATTTTGAATTCGTGAACAGAATTAGTAATTTTCATGAAAAAAGAAGAAAAAGTTCAGCCTGTTTACGCTGAGAATTTGAGTATTTTCATATCTTACACCTAAAAGAATCTGAACAAGTTGATTCAATTGATAATTAGAATCCAAAATTCAACTAATTGAGCGAAGAAAATTTTTTCTCTCTTCATTAATCAACTTTTTCTCACTTGAGTTATCTAATTATCATGGAAAGAGAGAGAAAGTTCTGACTGAGAATTGGGAATCATTGATTTCTTTCAATTCCAACAAAAGGGATAACCTACAAATTCAATTTGTTGAGCTTGTTCAATATTTTATCTTCATCATTATCATCATGAAATTAATTCTGTAAATCAATTATTCAAAATAAAAGATTGCTAGTAATTGAAAATTCTGATCAGATTCAGATTACTATCACGAAAACAACAACAACAACAACAACAAACTTATGAATGAATAGATGATGAAATGATTAATCAATTATCCTTTTTGTTTTGATGATTAATGCAAATTGCGTCACAATAACAATTTAATTATGATGATAAAAAACACACAATCACAATCAATCAAGAAATGATTTTTAATTTAATTTAAATTTTGTTTTTTTCTTGTTTATTTTCAGATTTCCAATTGATAATCTTTGTATTCAAACAATTTCATTGATTGTTTCCTAAATCATATACAAACAATTTTGTCAACTCTCTTCCTGATTAAGTTAATTTCTGATTGAACAAATTGTCAACAATCAACAAGCAACTAATCATCATCATCAACTATTGTTTACAAAAACAGAAATCAATCAATAAATTGTGTATTTGGTAAGTTAATCAAATTTAATTTCAATTTTCTCCTCTAATCAAATTGGTTTTTCATATTTATAAATGATCGCAAGAAAAGTTGATTAAGTTTTTAATTTTTTTCATAATTTCCCTCATTTTGATTGTCCAAATCAACAGATGAACAATTAACTTTGATTAAAACTGTCTATTCACAATCTGAGAGTGATTAGTTAATTGTAATCATGATCAATTTCTTTAATTGTTTGCTAGTTATTTTTAAATTTTCCATTAATTTTCAAAACACAATTAGGAAGCAATTAAAATGTTTCAAAAGTATTTTTTAATTGTCAACCTTTTAATTGTCTTGATTAACTTTTCTTGGATTGTAATCAAGAAATTAACATTTAAATTGTCATTAAATTGTTATTTCATATCAATGTTAATTGTAACCGAGACCAATAATAATCAGCTAATTTTTTTTAATAACAATTAGAGTGTTAATCATACTCATTGCTTTAAATTGTTCGGGGTGTGATTAAGTTAATTACTTTTCTGGTTACTCATTAGAAACCAATTAACTTTTTTTTTTTTACTTTCTCTTGATTATTAATGTTTTCATTGTTTAACTTATTAGTTAGTTAATCATAAAGTCACACTTACACAAGTTAATTGTGTTGGTAAAAGGTAATTAACTTTTTTTCCCCAACAATTAAGTTAAACACCAAAAACAGAAATTAAAAGTGTTAATTATTGTATTACCCAACGATTGGCAATTTGATTAAAAGCTATTAATTTGTTGAGGTATAATAACAATAACTGTAATCAGCTTGAAACAATGATTAGTTTAATGATAATTTAAAGTTAATTACAATTAATCATCATCATGATAATATCCGTAACCATGGAAACAAATGATTCCAAATGAGAATGAACAATTTTTGTTGATTAGTTTGAAAAAAGTTTTCTCTTCATTTGTTTTTTAAATTAAAATCACAATTAGATTACAAGGGAATTAATGATAACAAGATGATGAGGAAGATGAAATGATGATGATGAGGAAGATGTTGTTTAGTTAGGAAAGAGGAAGTAGAGGAAGAGAGCTACTGGCTTGGTGAGAGAGAGAGATGATGATGAAGATGTAACAATTTCTTTGGAGAGAGAGAGAAGAGAAAAATAATCAACTATGGAAGATAAAAGATTAGAAAAATAAGAGTAGAAGAAGAGAGAATAAAAATGAAAAGAAATTAATAAGAAGAAGAAAGATGATGATGATGATGAGGAGAAAATGAAAAAAAAAGAATATGTAATCTTCTCTTTCTTTCCTTTCCTTTTTCACCCTCTCCTTCATCTTCATCTTCATCCTCCATCCTCTCTGATCCCCTTGACTCAGGCTCCAAATCATCACCATCTTATTAATACTCTAGCCTTTTTTTATCATTAAAAGAAATGAAAAAAAATCATGTTTGTTAGGGAGCAAGAATAAATAATGATGATGATAATGATGATGAGGATGAAGATGAGGATGAGGATGCTAAGAGAATGCCCTTTATGGATTATTTGCCGAAGTAATTTCATCTTCTTCTTGCTCATCATCAAGATAATATTATGTAAAGTACATGTAGGGAAAAGATGGTGGCTTGGGTGATAAGATAAGGAGGATGAGAAGGAGAAATGGGAGTCGGTGGGTGAGGATGCGGAAGGGAGAGGGAGGTAAATGTAATGAAAAAAAAAGTCTACAAGAAAATGAGAGTGCAACTTTTTTTTACTCCTTCTCCTGGGGTGGGTGGTGATTAGAAGATGAAGAGAGCAAGTGTGTGTTTTTATTCCTGATGATGAAGATGCCAGAGGATGGAGATGATGATGATGATGATTTCAGGAGGTGGGGATTTTCAGAGGATCAATAATTTGTATCATCAATTATAAAGAAGAGTATAAAAAATAAGAGTAAAAGAAAGAGGGTTAAGATAATGATGATGAAGAAAAAAAGAACAGCTCTCTCTCTCTCTCTCTCTCTCTCTCTCTCTCTCTCTCTTGCTCTACTTTGGGTGTGATTCTATGGTGAATCTTGATTCTCCATCTTGGTTTTTTTGTCTTTTCTTTCCTCATCATTATCATTATCTTCTTACTCTCTCCCTCTCATCATCTAAATTTTTCTCTATTTGTTTCTATTCTCGATTCTTTGATTTTCAGGATGTTGAATGTATATCATGTCTCACACATCACCATGATGAGGATGATAACATCTCTCTTGCTCTCTCACTTTCACTCTCTCTCTCTCTCTTTTCTCATCATGATATCTATTGTCTTTGTATGTTGATGATGTTTATTGGTTTCTTGATTTACCAACATCATTTGAAATGGGAATCACCAGTAGGGAAGAAAATAAAAGTTTGTCTTGATTAAACTTAAATCGAATGTTTTTTTTCATCTTCCTCATCATCCTCATCTTCTTAGGTATATATATAAATATAATGTCCTTACTTGTCTTTTTCTCAATGACCTTTCAGCTTTTAATTGTAACCTCATTCAATGGAAATGAGAGAGAAAACGATTTCACCTTTAATTAATTACAATTAGAGTGAAACAATTGATGGTTATTTGTGTGTGAGAAAAGGATGATAAGGAAGACAGAGGAAGATGAGAATAGGAGGTTAGAAGAAAAAAAAGTTCTTTGACAGGAAATTCTTGTTTTTTTCTCTCTTCGAAATGTTACTTCAGAATCTATTCAGTAAATTCTGATTTCGATTAATTTTACGATCTAACATTCTCTCTTTACTCTCACTCACTCTTTCTCATCTTCAACTTCTCATCCTCTCTCTTTTTTATCTTCATCACTCTCTCTCTCTCTCTCTCTCTCTCTCTCTCTCTCTCTCTCTCTCTCTCTCTCTCTCTCTCTCTCTCTCTCCTTCTTTTATCCTTTTCCACCCTCGAGCAATTCATTGATTATCATGATGATGATAAGATAAAGATAGAGATGAAGATCCATTGATAACCATTGGGTCAGATTTAAAATCTAATTTTCTACTACTTTGAATACCTTTATCTTATCCACAGTGACCACTATCTAAAGCTTGACCAATACTTGTTATTGTTACCAAAGTGATTAATGAAACCAGTTAAAGATTAACTTGATTAAGTTAATCACTTAGCATATATATTGATTAAAATCAATTGAATTAGTAATCATTAGGGTTTCAACGTATATAAGATTAACCATCAACTCATTTTAACTAACAAATTGGATGGACATTGATGATTAGTTGAAATTTAATCTTGAAATATATTAACACATTTAGATGTTGATCAGTTTAATCATTATTATTATTATCATCATCATCTTGATGTAGTTAATTGCTGTTAATGATAATAATGGAAAGTGATGTTGATGCTTTTCAGTTTGATTATGAAAATATACTCATAGTGATTAGAGATGGAGGGAGAAAAAGTGAGAGGAGGAGTGGGAGTGGGAGATGAAGGTTGAGGTGGTGGATAAAGAAAATAAGTTGATTCTACCCTGGAAACCGTTGCCATGTAATTTTGGTTGGAATATTTTTCTCATCTTCATCATCCTCATCATCTTTCTCTTGGGTCCTTCATTACCAAGTAACACTAATTAAGAGGAAGGCACATACAGGAAGAAAGAGAGAGAGAGAGAGAGAGAGAGAGTGAAGATAAGGGGTGGGCAAGATATCTAATGGTCAATTTGTTAGTCTTCTCGGTGATGATGAAGATGAGAGATGAAAAATCGATATGAAATGAGGATAAATTAAGAGCATCAACAATCTCATGGCTCAACATTCATAAGATGAAGATGAGGTGATGGTGTAGATGAAGAGGAAGAATATGAAAACTGAATCTAATTTTCCACCGTGGAAATTTTTTTATTTGTTTTAATTGTGATTCTATTTTTTGAGAGAGAGAGAGAGAGAGAGAGAGATAAATCTTTACCACCATCATTATGTTGATTTTGATGATGAACTTTACAAAGCTTTGGGAGATTAACATGAGTAAATCACTTGGTTAACAATTAAGTTGCAATTGATTTGAGTGAAAATTTGAAAATGATTGGAGACAATTTGTTGACCATCATACTGACCAAATGATCAAATTAATGATGAAATATTTTCTCAATACTTGTGTAACCCTGATAAATGGGGATGAGGAATATTGGTAACATTGGAACAGTGATTTTTGTTGTGCAACATAGAGATGAAGATGAGGATGATAATAATGATGATGATGATGTGTTATATTGTTGATGTTAGTGTCTGTCAATGTCCAACAGCTTTGTCCATTACAAATAACAACAATGGGAACCTTTTATTAGATGAAAGAAGATGATGATGATAAAAAGGGATAAAGAGTATACATATAGTAGGAGGATTGAAGATGAAGATGCTAAAAGAAAGACAAAACTTGATAGGGTTGATGCGGGGGTGGGTCAGGGTGATGGTCAGTGGACATTCTGTTGGGATAAAATGTTGAACAAACCCAATTGTTTGTTGCATTAATTAAAATCAACCTCAGATTCTGATTCCATGTAACCGTTACGAGGAAGTGAGAAAGAGGGAGAAAAGGCAGAGGAAGATGAAGATGAGGATGAGGACAAATCTTTTCAATAGCCTTTTAATAGATTTTAAGTCTCCTTCATCGCATCATCATCATCATCATCATCCATTATTATTATCATGTTGATGATGAAGATGAGGATGAAGATGATAAAGGAGAAAGAGAAGATGAGAAAACCACAAAAATCCTTTTAATGTCATCATCAAGTTATCTTCTAATTCCTTTGATATAATTATTGTCATAAATTCATTAGAATCATTGAATTTCAATGGAAACTATAATATAATCACTAATCTAGGATATTTAATGATAACTGATGAGGATGATAAACAAAGAAAAGGGAGAGAGAAAGATGATGATGATGATGATATTGGGGAAGAGAATATTTTTTTTGATGAGAATAGAAAAAAAAATTAAATTAGTAAACTAACAATTATCTTTAGAAAAGAGATGAAGAGAAATTTTTGTTC